TGCAAGTATTGCCTTTATGTTCAGGTTTTGTGCCAGATCAACGTTTAGCTCACCCAAGGTCAGATATGAAATATTTTTGCAGGTGAGAGGGACCAAAGGCTGCCCATCAGGTTATTCATTTTTATACAGTTAATATGTATATCTTTTATGATTTAAAATAGCAATGGGTAGAAGGTGCAATAAGATTACAAAGATGGCTGTGGAAACTTCAGGTCTTTCATGGTTGTGAAAGAGAAATAGGAAAGAGAGAAAAGATGAGAGTGAGCCGTCCCCTCAAGTAGAAGCGTCAAAGAAAGAGGGAGGGAGAAAAGGAAAGGAAGGATTGGTTGTAAAAGAAAAGGAAGGGGAAGAATTGAAGAAGAAAGAAGTAAAGGCAGAAGTCTGTTTGGTGGAGGAAGGAAAAGGGAAAGAGGATAAGGTGTTAACTCTACCAGTGTGGGAGGAGGATATAAAAGATCAAGGGGGAAGGAGAGAGTTAAGTGTACCCCAGGCAGAAATAAAGAAAGATGAAAGAGAGGGAAAGGAGGAAGAACTGAGATATAGAACGCACAGGCTGTTAGTATACTTTCCCAACTTAAAAGTGGGAGGACTATTGCCGGACCCAGATCAAAAGGAAAAGAAGGTGACTGTGACGGAAACCCAAGAATTGGACAGTGATGGTCCAGTTCTGTATTTTGATGCAAATAGCACCTTCAGCCTATATGGTGGTTCATGGTAGTACTAGGATAGAGAGAAGGGGTTAAATTACCCTTTTTCTATCTTTGATTCTCATACTACTTACCCATGCAGCTGCAACTCATAATCCACAAAACCTGCACATTGACTCCATAAATGCAATTATCATACTATCTTGTTTTGTCCTCACCAGAGGAACCTGACTTACGTGTCACCTTTTTAATTGGATAGTCTGTTATGCTATAAAGATGCTTGCTAATGTATCCTTTACAGAAGACGGCCAGCATACAACTACTTGTTTTCTGACCACTCTACGTAATACTACCCAGTGCTGCATCCAAAACTCAGAAAAGGACAGGATAACAGAATGGGAAAGGAGAAGTAAGCAAGAAAACATATGTCCATGGGAATAAGCAGAAGACAGCTGAGCTTGTGCGTGGTGCAAACAAGATGGCAGACGATGGAGGGGGAAGGAAGAGGACAGACAGACTGAGGCTTGAGAATTGTCCAGGAACCAACGTACTCTCTAATTTTCTGTTGCGCGTGTGCAACTCCGCCCCTGCATGGGTGTGCAACTCTGCTCCCCTGCACCCCCACTGTGTGGGGCTCCACCTCTGTTGCGCGTGTGCAACTCCGCCCCCGCATGGGTGTGCAACTCTGCTCCCCTGCACGCTGGATTCTGTCACAACCGGAACCTAATGTGATCACTGCACAGAGGAGGAAGGCACCTGTGCAGAGGGAAGCAAAATTGTGTGTGCATGTGCCAAGCTTAGCAGGAACCTTGCCAGGAACCAATCCCCTGTTTTAACAAAGTAGGGGGTGGCTTACATGGCTCTCTTTAGGACAGGTTGTTTATGGCCATTGTTGGATAAACCAATTAAGCTGTTGATGTGTGATCTGCTATATATTTAGCACAATCATATACAGCTTTCCCAATAAGAAAATTCCTTTGTTCTTAGTGATATTGACTTATTAAATGTGTCTACAGTTGGAGCCTTTACATTTCAATGTGTGATGCAACTGATTTCATCCTGGAAGAAAAATATACTTAAAATGTGAGCATTTTTACAACGAGCTATAAGCAAGCATCATGGAAGAAATTCCTGATCTATGGTGGTCAAGCCATTAGGGTGCTGGGGGCAAGCACCACAAAATGTGTGTTTTATGACAAGGCTGTATATTGTCCCCTTGCTTATTTAACTTATATGCACAAAACATCATGGCAAAACGCTGGACTAGAGGAATCCCCAACCGGAATTAAGATTTCCGGAAGAAATAACAACCTCAGATATGTAGATGATACTACTCTGATGGCAGAAAGTGAGGAGGAATTAAAGGGAAGAGCACAAAAAATGGTCTGAAGCTCAAGATCCAAAAAATTTAAGATCATGGCAATTGGTCACATCACCTCCTGGGAAATAGAAAGGGAAGATATGGAGGCAGTGACAGATTTTACTTTCTTGGGCTCCATGATCACTGCAGGTGGTGACAGCAGCCACAAAATTAAAAGGCGCCTGCTTGGGAGGAAAGCAATGACAAACCTAGACAGCATCTTAAAAAGCAGAGACAGTCTCCTGGACTGCAGGGAGATCAAACCTATCTGTTCAGAAGGAAATCAACCCTGAGTGCTCACTGGAAGGAGAGATCCTGAAGCTGAGGCTGTAATGCTTTGGCCATCTCATGAGAAGAAAAGACTCCCTGGAAAAGACCCTGATGTTGGGAAAGTGTGAAGGCAAGCGGAGAAGGGGACGACAGAGGACAAGATGGTTGGACAGTGTCATTGAAGCGACCAACATGGATTTGACCCAACTCCAGGAGGCAGTGGAAGACAGGAGGGCTTGGCGTGCTCTGGTCCATGGGGTCACGAAGAGTCAGACATGACTTAACGATTAAACAACAAGAATATTGCACAGACGCAAGTTTATACACATCCAGAAATATTACTTGGGGTGGCTCAAGTGTGACGGTGGCCAACATAGTTAAAAATTAGGTGATGCATGCTATTTGTAAATGCCTTATTAAACATGCACAAAAGGTTGTGTTTAACAAAAGTGATTTTATAGCTCCACGGATATGCACAGTTGATGCTAGTACTAAATCTCTCCAAACCAAAGAACCAGGGGACTTGTATTATGAGTCCAGTGAGGCTCTAGAATTTTTTAAAAATTTCAAACAACACTACATATACCACAGACTATTTAGTTAAAAGTTGAAGATTTGCAAACACCCCCCCCCAAAAAAAAAACCAGCATGGGATGGCAATGTGTCTGGCAGACAACCAAAGCAGACTTTCTGTCTGCTGTACTTTGAATGCACATGTGCTTATCAGTTTGAGAGTCAGTATAAATCCCAATTCGCTATGCAAAGAGGTGCCAACTCGGAAAGATGGCTGTAGAGCTTTCTGTTTTAAAGTACTGTAGTTTGACAATAACAATTAGGTGAATATATTTAGCTCTGTGACTTGAAAGCCCCACCTGCAGAGCGAAATTTAGTCAGCCTCTCTTGTTAAGTTTTGATCTGTGAAAGCCGATCCTTAAGGAGATAATAATCCCTTAGTAATCCCACACCAGAACTCCATGAGGTAGGTTAGGCTAAAATGTCGCCTCTTACCTAAATTTACCAGGTGGATGAGGACTTCCATGGGGTGGAAGAGGGGGTGGTGGACCAGTAGGTAACATCTTGGTGTGGTAGTTCCTGTATCAGCTGGGCTACCCCATTTCCCAAGATTTTCACCGGCCTAGAATTAGGTGCCGTCCCACTTGTGCCTAATGAAAGGCAGCAGAACGCCAGGGAGATTAACCCACCTGTTGGCTGACAGAACATCCCCGCTCCAAAGGCAGGAACTAGCTGCCACCACCCTCTGACTTGGCCTTGTGCCCCCCCTTGCCCCCAGTCTGCCAGCTGACCTTGAAGCCAGCATAGTCAGGGGTGAAGTGAAGGTGCTGACCTTGTTTGTCCTTGAACACGGGGACAATAAAGGGGGAATTGTTAAGAATAAAGTGTGGCCAGCTGTCCACAATTCACTTCCTCACTGCCCTGGAGGGAGGAATGGCTTGACTTGCCTCCTCCCCTTGATGCTACCTCTCGGTGTAGGCCTGCCATTAAAAAGCTTCTGGAAGAGTAAGCACCTTTATGGAAAACTCATTACAGTGGTGTCTCACTTTATGATTGCCCCACATTACAACAAAACCGCATTACGATAATTCTTTGCGATTGCAAAGCGGTGGTCTGAATAGGGTTTTTTCGCTTTGCGGTGATCAGTTCCCTGCTTCGGGAACCGATTCTTCGCAAAACGACGATTTTCCAACAACTGATTGACGGTTTAAAAATGGCCGCCGGGTAAATAAAATGGCTCCCCACTATTTTCTGGGATGGATTCCTCGCAAGACAGCCACCGAAAATGGCCGCCCTATGGAGGATCTTCGCTGGACAGTGAGTTTCCAGCCCATTGGGACACATTGAAGGGGTTTCAATGCGTTTCAATTGGCTTTTTATTTTCGCATTACAACGTTTTTGTTCTACAGCGATTTCGCTGGAACGAATTAACGTCGTAATGCGAGGCACCACTGTATAAGTGAATCAAAACTGCCAGCCAGCCTTGGAGGAGACCCCTGTTTTTCCAGGCTCTCCCTTCCTTCACCCCTCATGTTGTACTTTTCTCTCAGTCTGATTTCTGCTCTGCCTGGCGTAGAATTCCCTCCCTTATCGGGCTGCCTTACACCTGTATCAGGGCTCCTGCTCCATCAAGTCCTGGTGGCACCAAAGAAACATGCTGTAGGAGACCAGATGCCAATAAATTGTATTTTTATTCCTTTATTTTTATTTTTGCAGAAGAACAGGATGTATTTTTCTGTCTCTGCACAGTAGCTAGGCTATAGCCTTAGGGCACACTAATTGGACAGGTGGGACAAGATCTGTGCGAGACGTACGTCTGAATAATGCATGGATCTGGCATCAAATGCTGCAGATCCCATTGCAGAGAGGGAGACACTCCCTTCGACCGCAAAAGGCTGCATCCCACTTATGAAAATGAGGGTGGCATGCAAAAGCGAAAGAACAATCTGCTTGCCGGAGTGGGGGGGAAGAATGTGTCCAAGCTGTTCTGTCTTTTGAGTCCCTTAAAGAGTTTCTAAGTTCTCACCGCCGCCTCTTCCCAGTTCCTTCTGGTCACCATCCCCTCCCCGCTTTCCTCCAGCCATTTTCCTTCAGCAGGCACCACAGTAAGTGGAGGTCTCTAAGGCAGTGGTCCCCAACTTTGGGCCTCCAGATGTTCTTGGACTTCCAACTGCCAGAAATCCTGGCCAGCAGAGGTGGTGGTGAAGGCTTCTGGGAGTTGTAGTTCAAGAACATCTGGAGGCCCGCCCAAGGCTGGAGACCACTGTTCTAAGGGACAGAAGGTGTAGTGGTATGTTGTGGAAAAGAGCCCGAAAAACCCACAACCATTAGATCCCGGCCATGAAAGCCTTTGCGAATACACAGAAGGTGTAGTGTATAGACTGATGGGTTAGGAACCAAGAGACCCCACTCTAGTTGCCTCATTCTATTTACAGCCCTGACGGCAGTTGCTTGTCTGAGAAGCCTTGATGGAAAATGATGTATTGCTACGATTTAAGACCAGCTGGCTGAAATGGCATTTAATGTTTCTGATGATTCACAGTTTAGAGACAGTGAGTGCCCTTGACATATTTTTCTAATTTGGGAGATAGAAGTTGAATACTGGTAGAAGAGTGAAATACGAATTGCTGGGTAGATCAGTGGCTTAGGTCTTTGGCTGCAGAACCAGAGGTTTGGAGTTTGATTCCCCCACTGAGCGTCCTTTGAAGGGGCTGGACTCAATGGTCCATAAGAGTCCCTTCCAGCTTTGTAATTATAAGATGAAAAAATAATAATAGATTTGTTTTTAAAGTGCATTGGTTTATTTCCCTTATCTTTTTTTTTGTCCAACAGTGTAAGCCAATGAATGCTGGTGACTGGCTCAAAGATATGCGGAATATGAAGATGATTGGTGGACCAGCATTGGAGAAGTGGATCGTGGTGTCCAGCAACAGGAACTTTGATGCAGGTCACAACCTTGTGAGCTGCATGAGAAGAGTAGGAGATGCTATGGGCTTTCACGTTGAATACCCAAGATTGTGAGATATATTTAAATACAAACTTCCTTTTTCTTTTTTACACCATTCCTCAAGGCCTCTTCATACATTAATGCCTTTCTGAGGTATGCATAGAAGATTATTAAGGATGCACAACTAACATAAATGTGACAAACACACATTGCGTTGTGGATCCAGAATCAGCCGGCTGCATTCTGTCTCTGTGGTAACAGATCCCTGCATAATATATGAAATGACATTTATCTGAGCATTTTCCCTGGTTCTTTGTATGTTACAATAAGCAGTGATAACCAAGCAGCCGTCGTATGTGTGGTGACAGCTTGAAATTGCTGTTCACAATTGCTCTTTGCCAGTGGCAAGCCAGTAAGACATTACTGCTGGTATTTGGGCATCTTGCATAACAGTGCAATAACGCACTCGGGAGTGATGTGCGGAGATTCAAGCGCTGTATAACATTTATTGCTTTCATTCATTTACACCTGATCATGCACAAGACTGTCTTTGCTTCATGCTGACAGCCAGAATGCCCATAGAACTCAGTAGACGCCTCAGCTATTTAGCCCAGATCCTCTGCTGTGTCTTCAATTTTTGATCTCGTTAAGGAACCCAGAAACTGGCTTATGTATGAGCTATTTTTCCAAGTCATTATACTGTACTAATGTTCTGTCATAGTGGTATGCTATGATCAACTTCTGTGATCCATACTCTTACAAATCTAGTTTTGCCTTCAGCTCTCTAGACTATAAATTATTGGTTTTTCAGGGGAATAAGAATTTAGGCCAAAATTGGGGGGAAAAAACCTCACCCAGTAATACATTATTTTCCTTTCTATGCTTATTATAGCAGTGCAGGTGATGACTTCTGAGCCAAGTGAGTGAATCCCACAAAAAGTTTTAACTGGTGAAGTTGAACTGATTTAGTACAGTTTCATTCATGGAATGAATTTTGTAGAATTTACAACCCAAGATCCTTTTTAGGAACTGTGTTGTCCTACTGCAGGGAGATTTTCCAGACCGCGTTAGATTTTCTTTGGGGGAGCTTTTTGATTCATTCCCCATTCACATACCTGCTGTATGTCAATTTCTGTGCAGAAAGTGAAAAAAAAATGTAAGGTTTTTACAGTTCTTGATATGGTGATTTATCCCCAAACTACTCATGGGATAGAAAAGTGTCTGTCTGTGTGTAGTAAAGGTGCTTCAATTGGAAAAGTGTTTTCTTATAAAATCTTGTATGAACGAGTTTTAACTTTTTTCCATACATGGGTAATTGAGACGCTGAATGGATATTGACTTTCTTTTGCTTTCTTTCGCTATTCCTGAAAGGGGGAGAAAGGTGGGGAGGGAATATTTTGTTTCTCCTAGCAGATTTCAAGGTTCTTGGGGGGGGTGTTCTATGGCCAATACTATCCACAATCAAGTTTTCCATTATTGGCTATGAAACTCACTAGGTCATTATCGCCGTAGGACTGTTACCCATGGGATCAGTGTTCTTTATATCCTGGGGAGAGTGACCAGGAGAGGAGAGAGACCCTAGCCAGACTACTGACAAGAAGACCATACACCAAATTTTAAATTCAAGCGCTATATAACATTTATTGCTTTCATTCATTTACAAGATAAGACAAAGGTATCAAGAAGCCTCTTCCATACTTCACAAGCACACATACTCACACACACAAAACCTGTCCCTGAGGGTTGATCAGTCCCTCAATAAGAGCAATGGAAGCAACATTGCAGCGCTGTTCGAAGCCCACAATCGCTTCCCGGGACATTCTTCTTATAGGCATCTTCCTCGTGGGCTGTGCCTATGGGCTGAATTTAGGTGGGCATAGGCAGGCAGGGGGCAGCCCCTGATTTCCTGAGCAGGTACAGTCTGTTGCCATGCAGTAATGCTTCTTGCATGTGTCCTTTACCTCAGTCCCTGCCCCGCCTCTTAGTTTGAGTGGGCGGCTGCTGGAGAAGGCAGAGGAGGGAAGCACAAACTCCTACTGTGACTGGATGATCACGCAAAAAAGGAGGAGACAAGCAGCATGTGCTGAGTGGGGGAGCCAGCCAGGGGATAGGGGGACGGGAATGTGTGGCACCTATGGTGCCATGCTGATGAACTGGTACGAACCTCCAAACCATGGTTTGTGCCCATCTCTAATCAGGAGTGTTTGTGCAGTTTTTCTGGGTCAGGAGACAACATAATGATCAGCTGTGGAAACAGTGCCCATGGACCTGGGTGGGAGTGCTCCAGTAGCAAGATGTCTTAGTTGCCAACCACTAAACATTTGTGATCACCTGCTTTTTTTCTGACTCTGCATCACGCTTCCAAAATTTAGGAAGGAAAGAATTCTTGGCCTCCCTTCCTGGCTAGAGATGTGTCTATGTGATTCTAGTGTTCCAGATGTCTTGGAAGTACAGAACAGAAACAAATCTATTGCTAAGCCTCCCCCTATAACTTGCTTGAGAGGGCACTTTGAAGGTGCTTAGGAGAATTGCGGACATGATCCCTGCACTTTTTCCAGCTGGAGCTTTAGGGCCTTTGTTGGTCCAAGTGATAAAAATGATAAAACAGAAAGCCTGAGTAGGGTAACTGATTCTCATAAAAGTCTTACCATACTGTTGTTCAGTGGTATCTCTTTCCTCCAAGCTTAATGGCATTTTTGTTGGCCGCATGTAATCCATGATAGACATTCCCATGCCAACCCTCTTCTTTCTTTCCAGCATTGTAATTTTGCACATTAATCTGTTGAGTTCTTGGGTGGGACACAGACACATCCTGTCTTCAATTCAGCATTGTCTCACCACAAACCCAGTGGTATACTGTGTTCCAGCAGGTGCACTTCTTGCAAAATTTATCATACTTAATGTTCCACAATGTGTTTTTTTTGTCTGTAGTGTACAAGTACAAGATAGCTCCATGGCATTTGTTCAAGTATTGAAACAGCATGTGAATCCCGAGCTACAGCTGGTGCGTACCAAGAATGGATAAGCATTGCTTTTCAGATGTATTTGAAGAGAAGCTTGTTAGCTGCTAATATTCAAGCTTGCTAGGACGGTGTTTTAAGAGAAGGCAACAGAATAAGGTGTACATAAGCATACACGCACACACCTGACTATAAGGGCTATGACTGCATTTTGGGGTCCACTTTACAAAAAGTGGCCCATTCCACCTATCCTTGATATGAAGCTAGCTTCCTGCCTTCCCAGAGCTCTCATTCATAACGTGGCCAATACTGCCTGTTTACCTGATAGTACACAGAACACTGAATGGACTTGGCAGTATGTCTAACGAGTGGGACCCATAGTAAAATAGCTGTAATATGAAATGCTGATGTTCAGGATTCTTGCTCCTCCTTTCCATTCCACCCGTATATAGGCCTCCCTGGTGCCATTCTGGGCTACTGAGTGCTTTCAGCCTTTGTTGCACTCTGTCTTTCAAGGTTTTTCCCCAAATATTGCCGTTTAACAAGGTAATCGTTAAGCTAGGCGCCACTGTACCCCCTTCTCTACTCATAACAAATACAATATGAAGGGTGAACTCCCAAGTCAGTCCACAGTCTCTATGTGAGCCCTGATTGTAATTTCAAATGCAGTACAGGATGCGAATCAAATCCAGTGTAGTTGCACCCTAAACTTCAGAAAGTGGGATTACATTCTTGATGTAGAAAATCATTTTCCAAAATACAACCCAAATTTTATGCCCCTGAAAAGTGAAATGCCTGTACTTGAATAAAATCTGCAGCAGAAGTAATTTGCACACTTAAAACAACCCCCAGGATTCCACCACAGTGAATCACAGACTATGCAGGCCTGCCCTGCGATGAACCGGATCTCAGTGATCTATTCTGTTTCTCATTTGTAGGTACTGTGTATACTGTCGTCCAATCAGAAAGACACTTACGATGCTGTGAAGAAGTTTTTGATTCTTGAGCGCCCTGTTCCAAGCCAGTGTGTACTTGCTCGCACCCTGAGCAAGCAAGGGATGATGATGAGTGTGGCTACAAAAATTGCTATGCAGGTTTCCTGTAAGATTGGAGGAGAGTTGTGGGCAGTTGAGATACCAGTAAGTAATTTTGTTGATCTACCTGGGTAATTTTCCCCCTCCTCTTCCCTTCCCAGAAAGGATCATGCAGTACTGATCCACTGTCTCCTATAAGCTCTTTGTCTATGTGAAGTGAGCAGGAGCTTGTTCACATGTAGATAGTATATCATGTAATTCAAGACACACGTCTTAGGATCCTCTGTTGCTTTAAGCGGTGGTGCATGATATCTAAAGCTACAGCTCTAGAGAAATCATGGCAGGTACTGAGCTTCTGAATCCGTTTACTGTCTTTCTCAACAGCTGAAATCGCTCATGGTAGTTGGTATTGACATCAGCAAAGATGCCATCTCCAAAGAAACCTCAGTTGTTGGATTCGTAGCCAGCACAAATGCCTCAATAACTAAGTAAGCATTTTTGGTGGACTTCACTGAAAGCAATAGAGAACCATTTATAGCAACATAGAGAAGAGTGGAAGAAATCAGGAGGCTTGGAGGAGATGTTCCTGCCCACCATCACTTACTGTGGGTTGCACCATCTCCAGAAATGAACATTGTTCTCCTATAGGCCTTCCTGTGGGGAAATAGGCCCTTTTTTTGTATAAATGTGTGTATCTATGTGAGGTTTTTCTAGTGCAGACTTGGGGCTGCCTTACAACAGAGAGGTTTGTTAAGTCTGTATTGTTATAACCATATAACTTACCAAACCAAATTTCCCTTTGTTTTATGTCTAGGTGGTATTCTCACTGTCTTCTGCAAGATACACGAACAAGCACTGTGGATTGTTTAAAAGTCTGCATGCAGGGTAGGAGTTTTGTATAGCGCCATCTGTCGATACTTAATTTAACTGTAACATACTAAGATCCACTGCCAACAGTTTCTGAGTAGTGCTCCGTTATTTGGGGTGAAATGTTTTTTCCATGCTGATATGGAGTGGAGTGGGGATTTGCAGGGAGAATAGGTAGAGATTGCTTAATCCTTCTCCATCCAAAGCAAGGTTCCCTCTAAGGTGTGCGGCTGTGTGAGCGTGTGTGACTCCGTCCCTTTGCTCAGGACTCCTCCTCCTCCACTCACCCACTGTTTCCAGCCCCTTTGGTTCCGGTCCTGATGAAACCCTGTGGTAAAGGCAGAGTCATACGTGGGGCCAAAGCCCCACCCAGCAGGGCTGAAATTTGATCCCAAGTGTTTCCTGCACTTGACCAGAGCCAGAAGTCGATGTTACACTGAATGCTACACTAGGAAACAGTGCTCTCTCAAGTTCTGGTATGTCTGATTGTAAAAGCACATGAGTCCAGGCATCTTATTCAACTTTCTTTCAACCTGTGAGTCCTTCTGGTCCTACCAGGGCTGACAAGTGGCTCCTCCTCCATCCCCATAGACTTGACAAAAGGTGTTTTAAACAAAGAAAGGTTTATTAGCACTTAGACAGAGGTTTCAACACAGGCTGTTTCTTGTGACTTGCCCACTCCAGAGCTACTTATCTTCACTGCCCCTGATTCAGTCTTGATTTCATCCACACCCCAAGTCAATTGCACTGCAGTGTAGGAGACTTCAGTTCAGTGGTGGGCACCATATGTTGCTGAAGATGGAGATCTGGAGAATCAAGGATCTGTACTGTCACAGTGAGGTCAGGGAACATGGAGACATTGCCCCCCCCCCCAACAGGGTCTGCGTCTGGGCTGGTGCCTGTAGTTGCTATTGTTGGAGTCAATTCTGGCATTTCTTTTCCTTCTACTCCCTCCAGTGTCAGAGCTATATCAGGGTTGTCTCCTCCAGACCAGCTCTAGGTTGAGTCCATGGGCCATGTCTATGTCATTGCTCCTCTTCTCCCTTAGGTATTCATGTTTGCAGCAAGACACTATTAGGGGTCTTTCTTTATAACAAAATTCCATTCCCTTTCTGGTACTGGATCTTGCTCCTTGTTGCCCGTCTACATCATATACCTTGTGTAATTCCTCATGGGCATTTCCCCAAACTCCCTCCTCTTTGTCTGAACACAGTTGCTACACCATATCTTTTCTCCCCTCTGACTTATCTTCCATCTCCTGTAGTCTGCTCTTTCTTTCTTTCTTTCTTTCTTTCTTTCTTTCTTTCTTTCTTTCTTTCTTTCTTTCTTTCTTTCTTTCTTTCTTTCTTTCTTTCTTTCTTTCTTTCTTTATTTATTTATTTATTTATTTATTTATTTATTTATTTATTTATTTATTTAACTTAGGATGCTGTATCTGTGGTATACACGGTTTCCTTTTTTTGCAGTTTGCTACACAAGTATATATAACATACAAGAGCGTCCACTTGTGGCCTTTGTTCCGCCTCCTTGCCATCCCCCTTCTGTACTCTGCCCCTGCATTTCTATTTACCATTAGAAAGTGGGCTCCCTTCTGAAGAAGGTATTTAGGCAGATCACAACTGCCTTTTATAAGAGATGCTGCACTTGCCTCCTGCATTGAATGGGGTTGTATAAAATGACCTCCAAGGTTCTTTTCGCTCTAAAATTCTGTCGATAGATGTGTTTGGGATACATGTGTTAGCCAGAGTGATATGTATTTCCACCATGAAATAATGTCACTCTGGTGTGTCCTGCAACATACGTAGACAAAACTTCTCACACCTTGCTGCTGTTTTTGACTCTCAGTTCGTGGAGGAGGACAGCTTGGCAGTGCTGGAAAGGTAGCCAAGACTGCAGGCATGATTCTGTGTCAATTTGAGGCCCACCGACCCTGTTGCTTGTTCTCACATGTATCATGCTGTCTAGCAACTTGTATCATTGGAGCCATATTATTTACATCAAGCACTTCTGTGTGTATTTTCAGAGGGATAATCGTGTTCTGTAATTTCAGATTTTGGAGGCAAGCAAAACTGGTATCTGAGCACAGATACCAGTTTTGCTTGCCTCCAAAATCTGAAGTTAATAAGCTTCTCAGGGGCTTATTGGCTTATGGTCTTACATTGTGAGCTTTTCAATTAGTTTTCCTCATATTGGGCCAATACAGAAGTCAGTTCTGTATTTCTTTCCTGCTCTTCTGTAGGTGCTCTGAGCCAGTGGCAGAAGTATAACGGGCAGCTGCCTGACCGTGTCATTGTGTACCGTGATGGTGTTGGAGATGGACAGCTGAAGATGGTGGTAGATTATGAAGTCCCACAGTTACTAAGCAGCCTTAATGAATGCACTGGTGGTTTCAGGTAAACAAGTCCTGTCTTGCCGTTTGTTTTACCCAACGGTTGACTCATAATGTTAAAAGTGCCTTGTGTGATTTTCTTTTAGCCTTTTGTTTCTGATCATGGGGCGTTCTTGGCAAAGATACTGGAGTGGCTTGCCATTTCCTACTCCACCCAATGTTTGACTCAAAATGTTAAAAGTGCCTTGTGTGATTTTCTGTGATTTTCTTTGCCGTGTGGAGAGAAGGATCGTTAGTTACAGTCCCTGCCCAGAAGCAATGCTAAATGTAATTTTCAAAATGAAAAAGCAGCGAGAGCAAGAAAGGAGGGCTGCTTGAACCTAAGTACTCCTAGTTCCCCACCATTGGTTAGAAAGTGTGTTTGACTCAAAATGTTAAAAGTGCCTTGTGTGATTTTCTGTGATTTTCTTTGCCGTGTGGAGAGAAGGATCGTTAGTTACAGTCCCTGCCCAGAAGCAATGCTAAATGTAATTTTCAAAATGAAAAAGCAGCGAGAGCAAGAAAGGAGGGCTGCTTGAACCTAAGTACTCCTAGTTCCCCACCATTGGTTAGAAAGTGTGGTAGTAGCCTCGTGGCTCAGTGGTTAAACCTGCTGTACTGCAGCCAAAACTGTGTTCACAACCTGGGGTTCAGTCCCAGGTAGCCGGTTCAAGGTTGACTCTCAGTCTTCTATCCTTCCGAGGTTGGTAAAATGAGTACCCAGCGGAGCAATGTGTAGCCTGCATAATTAATTTATAAACCAACCAGAGAGTGCTTGAAGCACTGTGGGGAGGTATATAATCAGCACCCTTTGCTTTCTGCTTTGCTTTAACATGACATACACATCTTGTGCTGATGAGTCATTCTCTTTCAAGGTCCATCCCTGCACCATAAATGTGAAAGAGCCGTGGAAGTAAGATTTGCTCTATACCGGTAGCTTCCATTTAGCAGTGGAAGTGAAAAGTGGGTGATCAACTGTCCAATTACTTGTTCACTGTCGTTGTGTATTTCCTTTCTGATCAGAAGACCCAAACTGTCCGTGGTAGTGGTCAGGAAGAAAACCCTTTGTCGCTTTTTCACCGAGGCATATGGGGGCCTGCAAAATCCCCCTGTTGGGACAGTTATCGACTCAGAGGCCACTCGACCTGAATGGCAAGTATATCTTGGAGCAAGAATTTTAAAAGGGAAACAGCTTCTGGTCAACTTCATAAGAAATTTGTAACTAGAGATGAGCACGAAGCACCAGTTTGGCTTGGTTTGCTTACTGGCCCTGCAGGTGTTCTGCTGTTCACCTCCCCTCTGGCAGGTGCCCGCTCAGAGGTAGTGCCCCAGCTTCCCTGCCCTGCCTCCTCTGGGCACTACCTGTGCATGGGCAGGGCACTGAACTGTACAACACCTGTTGCAGTGGCAAACTAACCAGGACAAACTGGTAAACCAGTGGTTCATGCCCATCTCTAATCGTAACCTTATTAAGCAGCTTGTTTTCTTTAGATCTGATCCATAAAGACACCCTTTCTTGAAGACTACTAATTTTCTTACTTGATTTGCTTGTTCATATTACTGGCTGTGCTTGCTAGAATGATATGATGGTTAGAATTGTCTTCGAATAACCAGGCATTATGATAATTGAGAGTACTGTACTTTTTATAGTTGATATGATGAAGCTGCATGTTTGTGAAGGATCTCAGGTCACCACAGAGAGGATCCTCTAACCATTTAAGCTACACTATCTTGCTTAGTAAATAAGCATGAGCTGTAAGAACATACTTGAAGGTCTTCAAAACTGCTTGAGTGGACCATTCTTCTGTTTTACCATCATCCCCTCTCTGGGTAGCTCAACACTTTAAGCCAATCAGGTGGTATCTTCTTTCAGCTAGCTACTTGGTAACTTCTGCAAAAGTAACTCATCAGGTAAAACAGCTGCTACCTATATGACTTCTACGAGAATCCAAGAAGACATGGTCTCTCATAGCACTCCTTACATGTCCAAGGTTACTGATTAAATTTTTTTGCACCAGCCAGTTCAGGTTCATTAATTAGACGGTTCCTTCTTTCTCCCATCCAACTCGTTTTAGCTTTTTACAGACTTGAGGGAATGAATTAACCCCTTCCTTGCTAGTTCCATAGCATTCCCTACATGTCCAAGGTTACTGATAATTAACCCCTTCCTTGCTAGTTTCCTTACAGTATGGCAGAAATATGAGAGACCCATGTAAAAGGATCCACAATGGTTTTCCTTTATTAGCAAGTGGTGCAGAGACTGGGATGCTCAGACAGTGGATTCCTGGGCAGATTGCTAATCATGCAAGAAAAAACTAGGCAAGGGTGTTTCCAAAGAGTTTTGTCATTGGTTGTTGTGGGTTTTTTGGGCTCTTTGGCCGTGTTCTGAAGGTTGTTTTTCCTAACGTTTTGCCAGTCTCTATGGCCGGCATCTTCAGAGGACAGCACTGAAGTAGTTGGCTCTGGTGTAGTTGGCTTTGGGAGTGCAGTATTTATGGCTGTGGGATAGGCTTTTGTCTTTTTCTGTAGATGGGTAATTAGTGTGTATTGTTGTGGATGTATTGTTGTGCTAAGGAGAAGAGATTATCTGTTCCTGTGATTGATGGGTGTCATTAGCTGGTCTTTTGTGTGTAGTGATCCCCTGTCCTTGTGGCTGGGTAGAGTTCGTTGACCTTTTGCACGCTGTATTTTTGAGAGCTGGGAGCCAAGTTTTGTTGAGCTTCACACTTTCCTCTTTTTTGTTGAAGTTTTGCTGGTGCTTGTGGATTTCAATGGCTTCCCTGTGCAGTCTGACATAATGATTGCTGGTGTTGTCCAGTATTTCAGTATTTTGAAATAGAATTTCATGTCCAGTTTTAGGGCATGTTCAGCTACTGCAGATTTTTCTGGTTGTTTTAGTCTGCAATGTCTCTCATGTTCTTTGATTCTGGTGTGGATGCTTCGTTTTGTGGTTCCAATATATACCTGGCCACAACTGCAAGGTATCCGGTATACTCCTGCAGTGTTGAGGGGGTCCCTTCTGTCCTTTGCTGACTGTAACATTTGTTGTATTTTTGTGGTGGGCTTG